GGCATGCTGGCGGTACTCCGGTACTCATGCACCGTGCCAGTACTCAACACTCTCCCGCCGTTCTTATTATACATCCATATATATATATACAGCCGCCCGGTACTCAGTAGATGCGTCATGAGGTGCCGAACGGACATTCTCATCGCTCTAACCGCTGGAGTTTCACAGCGGCTGTCAGCTGTTTACTCCTGTCATTCAAACAGAACGTGCTGGAGAGGGGGCGGGGCTTATATTCTCCATGTATATACTGTGGTGGAAACGACTATGTCAAAATTAACCTATTTGACCGTGATTTAATAGTAATACACGTTTCAAAATAATAATAATAATAATAATAATAATAATGCCGAAGTAACAACATACTGAAAACTGTTAGTAAAACCATGTTTTAATGCTTTACAATTTACATACCTAGATGCACGTGTGTTGTGTTTATGCAGTGCAACTCCCACCCAGTGGGTGGCTATGTAGAGTGATAGAACAGAGCAGGCACGCCCCCGAGAGAAGGAAAGCAAGTCACGTCACAAATTAGCATTTCTAAAATGTTAGCGTGGATTAATAAAAGTGCAAAAAGACAGCGGTTGTCGCCGGAAGAAACTTCAAATACAGAGAATGCTGTGCCTGTGTTGGAAATTGTGTCTGATGGGGAGCTTTCTTTGGTTGATCCTCCTGCTCCAAGTTCTAGTGCATTAGCATTAGCACTAGCTCCGCCGCCTCCTCCAGAGCCTCTAACGTTAGCTGCTGCTGGCGCAACTGCCACCACCAACACCGGGCAAAGCGATGCACCTGACTGCTGGACAACGGACCAGGTGCAATATTTTTGCAAGACCAATGCATGGCTCCTTCTTAAAGATAAGAAGCTAGGATGTCGGATATGCAGAGATGTCAAATCTTTGGGAATACACACTGGACAAGGACTGAAACTGTCAACTGAATGGGGTGAGTGTGCAGTGTCTCATTTCGGTGTTGACAAGGGCAAACAACAAGCTAGCCTGAGAAAAAAAATCAAAGAACATAAAGAATCACAAGCCCATGTAAAAGCTGCTGACATCCTTACATCTGCTTCACGTGAAACTATTCAACATCAAGTGCAGTCTATGCATAAATCTGAATTAGACACCACTATCAGAGTTTTTCGAACGGCATATAAAATTGGCAAACATAGCCGGCCATTCACAGACATGCCAATTGATTTGAATGTACAGAAACTGAATGGGCTGAACGTGGGCAGGGTTTTGCACTCCAATAAAACCTGTGGCGAAATCATCGACCACATAGCTCATGAGCTAAAGAAAAAATGGCAAAAGACATTACAGAAAACCAAAGAAAACTCTGTGTTTTGGTCGATGAATCTCCCACTATTAGTGGTAAAACGGTGCTTGTTGTGTGTCTACGCTCAGCATTAGCTGATGCTGAGCCCGAAACGTTTTTTTGGGAGCTGATCGAGTTGGATGGAACAACGGCTGATGACATCACAAAGGCGTTAATGGAGTGTCTTGGAAGAGATTTTAACGAGGACTTTTTAGGTCAGTGTTTCGTTTCTTTTGCATGTGATGGGGCTTCAGTCATGCTAGGGAAGAGAACAGGCGTTGCTACCCAGTTGTGTAGTAAATTCCGAAGCCTGTTTGTGTGGCACTGCTCCAATCATCGTCTAGAGCTGGCAGTTGGGGATGTGGTCAAGGAGGTCTCAGGGCTCAATCATTTCCAGATCTTTTTTGACAAACTCTATTCCTTGTTCCATGCCTCCCCCAAAAATCAGAGGCAGTTAGCGCAGTGTGCGCAAGCAGTCGGACAGCGTCTCCTGGTGATAGGGCGTGTTTTGTCCATCCGCTGGGTGGCTTCAAGTGAAAGGAGCGTCAGAGCAGTCTGGGAAAACTACCGAGTGCTTCATGATCACTTCACAAATGCTGCAAACGACACGAGCAGGGATTCCAGAGACAGAGCAAAGTACAAGGGCCTGGATGATGTGCTCACATCTGCAACGTTTGTCAGCAATCTGGGACTGATGTACGATGCGCTCACAGAGCTCAGCGACCTCTCTCGGCAACTCCAAAAAAGAGAGATGACACTGCCTACAGCAGATAGGCTCTTAACTCGAGAAATACGAGTTTTTGAATCCATGGTCACCATGCCTGGCCCACACATGACTACAGTTCATACAGCTCTAGCTGAGAAGTCCTTCAAGGGTGTTGCCCTGCGTGAGAATGGCAGGCTTGTACAGATTCATACAGGTCAGTTTTTCCGCAGTATGGTAGAGAATCTGAGACACAGAATGACTTCCACAACCTCCTCTCATGTCAGCACAAGAGAAATCCCATTACATGGCCGGGAGGCCCGGGACAATCAGCTAATCCAGGACATGAAAGTTATCCATCCTGGAAGTTGGCCTGAAGAGGAGTTAGACGTACAGTATGGGGACGTAGAGGTGCTACGTTTGTGCGAAGTGCTGAAAGTGGACAGAAGAGAGACTGTTCAGGGCTTTCGCGAATACAAGGAAACCAGGGCATCCCGTACACCTGCTGCCATGGAGCCTCTACTGAAAGCAGTCCGAACCATCGCTGTCTCCACTAGTGAGTGTGAGCGGGCATTCAGCTGCATGAACGATATCCTTACTGCAAAAAGGAATGCTCTCTCTGTCAGCCGACTGTCCAGCCTGGTTTTCATTAAATGTAATGGACCATCACTAGGACAGTTCAATCCGGAACAGTATGTGAGGTCCTGGCTGGCAAAGGGAAGGAGAAGTGCTGATGAAAGAGCCTGTCCAGCTCCAGCCCCTGATACTGATGTCCCCAAGGCCTTCTGGAGCCTTTTCTAACAATGTGAAGTATATTGCAAAGCAGCTCACCCAGTGAGAAGACTTTTGGCATAATGTGCCGATTTGTACAGATCCTGGAGATAGAAGGACTTCAGACCAACCAGGGAGTTATCTGATCAGCTTGGTGTTCAATGTAACTCTTTACCATGGCTCAGACTTTGTTACTTGCAGTTACAGTTTCTCATTTTAGATTGTGCAAATGTTGCATTTGTTTTTACATGTTCTTTGTTCATGCTCTTTATCATTTTTCTGAGTTGGAAAGTTAGATTGCATCATAGTTTACTTTATACATATTTGTATTCTTCAGTGGTGAAGTATATTGCAAAGCAGCTCAGCCATGTGAGAAGACTTTTGGCACTTTTTCGTTTTTCGTTTTCTGAGTTGGAAAGTTAGATTGCATTCAAAATGTACAGAAATACTTAATTTTGTTAAAGCTTTTATAAAAAATGCTTCTGACCAGAGCTTTGTTTCCTTGTCATTAATGTTGAACACCACCAGAGGGGCTCTCACCTGAAAGGTCTCTGCTTCATGTGTCTTCAGCAGAAGATCTAGACTTTGATTGCTATATTTTCAGTTAATATTGACCTTACTGAGCTTTAGCCATATCCGCTGCCTATCATAAAAAATGTTAAGTACAGTGAACCTTTCTAAAATATACAGTAGTAAAGAGACAAACCCACCAGCATTATAGTAGCCAAATTCTTGTTTGTGGGCTGTATATATAAAATTGACTTGAAAAAGTTGCTGATTTTAGAGTACTGGCACCTTTTTCATTCCAATTCAAGCACTGATCCTTATATGTTTCTTTAGTTACTTTGCAGCTTGTTTTTTAGATTGTCCTCGTCTGTGAAGGAACCTGGCCATGAACCACATTCTGATTCCACAAACTGAGAATCTGAGGGGTTTACTGTCGCTACCATAACGCCCCGTGCTCTTCTTCACGTCTGTATTCCTGCAGGGTCTTCCTCAACGCGTCCATTATTATCCTGACCTCGTGATGCTCAGAGTCTCGCAACAAACAGAGAATTAGAGTTTTTTTAAATGTAGACCACAATGCATTGCGCTCTTCTTGGTCCGTCAACATTTCTAAACATCTGCAGCTTCAGAAGAAGACGCGTCTAATGCTCTTAAAGTTGAGTTAAGTTGAGCTAAATCCCTCGCTCCCCGGCCAAAGGTCTCGTTTTGTCAGTAAAAACACAAGATATTCACTTTCATTTGGTATCAATGTGAGATTCTGGAAAATGACGTTGAAATGTTGATAAATCTGTAAATCTGTCATTTTCTCTGCAGACATTTGCAGGAAACGTCTTCCTGCACCCCCACCCTCCAGTCCTGCAGGATTATTACACACTATATATTAGTTTTTCACCCCCCCCCCCCCCCCCCCCCCCCCCCACCCCCCACCATCTAAACCCTGCAAAGCTCGGAGCTTTCATCAGACTTGATTCCAGGACGGATGAATTGGTTTTCAAGCCCGAACTAATCCTTCAAATCAGAAGCTGCAGACTGAGATCTACTTCCTGTTTACACTTCGCACACATTTTGACTTTATTTTTGCACAACATTCAACTTTATTTTCCACTTCTCAATATATTGGGTTCATTCTTGACGTTGGGGCTTTATTGTGGACATCCCAACTTAATTCAAGACCTTCTGACTTCTCAACGTTTCTGGTTTGATCTTCGACATTTCAGCCTCACTCTCGCCTTTTGACCGTTTTATGGACCGTGAATACATTGATGTCAGAAGAGAGAAGATGATTAATGCCAGATTTGAGCTAATAGCTCTCGTCCACAGCGGCCTTTAATATCCCAATTCCCTGCTGAGTGTTTGAACCCAAACACACCTTCAAATGAACCTGATAACAGACCCTCCTCTCAGGGGGGTCTGTTTGCCTCCCCTTCCTCCCCCATCTCTCCTGCCTTAATGTGTCCTCACACAGGGACCAGGGGGGTCTCACCTTTCTTATCATTACGACTTTATTCTCTGTATTTTAAATTCTCTACATTTAGACGTTGTCACATTTCCACTTTGACATGTTTGCTTCTTTCTCTACATTTGGATTTGAAATGTGAGCTTTATTTTTGCCCAATGTTTCCTCTTCTCGTTAATATCCCTGCTGATATGCACACCCACACATACCTTATAATAACCTGTGTTTGCCTCCCCTTCCTCCCCCATCTACCTGCCTCTGTGCACTGATGCGTCTCCACAGGGACCCAGCAGGTGGTCTCTGTTCAGGTCTCAGCCTCCTCTCTCTCACCTTCCATCCCGCGGAGCTGTTAGTGTCTCCTTTGTCCTTGAAGTACGGCACGGACCTCACCATCCAGTCGTAGATCTGGGCCAAAGTGAGCCTGTTCTCCGGGGAGCTCTCTATGGCCTGAGAGATCAGATCCGCGTAGGAGAAGTTCCCCCAGGCGTTCCTGCGGGAAGAAGCCTTCCTCAGGGCGGCTGTAGGGGGCGTTAAAGCCGGGGACAGAGACCCATCATCAGCGGGCAGATTCACCTCCACAGGCCGGGACACGGAGCTCAAAACCCGGCGGGGCTTCACCACAACAGCAGACCCCCCATCATCTTCATCCTCATCATCTTCATCATCCTCTTCCTCTGGGATGACGTCACTAATGCCCGGTTTGTCTCCGGACTCTGGACGGGGCAGCGGCCAGGTGCACGAGCGCGGCCGCTTTTGGGGCTCGAAATCCGGATCGATTTCCACGATCAGGGGGGTGACGGGGCTCCGAGCCTCGGACATGATATCAGCTCTCTGTGTGTGTGTGTGTGTGTGTGTGTGTGTGTGTGTGTGTGTGTGTGTGTGTGTGTGTGTGGTGTGTGTGTGTGTGTGTGTGTGTGTGTGTGTGTCGACACAAAGGGTTAAAATCACTCCATCAATGTGTGTTTGCAGCTGTATGTACTGTACACGCTGCAGACAGACCAGCACATGTCTGTCTATGTGTGTGTGTGTGTGTGTGTGTGTGTGTGTGTGTGGCTGTGTGTGTATGCGTGAGTCTCTATCCGCACACGCAGCACACACCCCGGCCAGCATGCATTGCAATTCCGCAGAAACGGTGCGTTAAAGGGTCCTCGGAGGAATCCAGTGCGCGCTCCCGCACAGCGTCATGCAGCGCGCTCCCGTGCATGGCAGAGAAACACGGGGAATACACAAGGGAAGATGCAGCTAAAGCTAACCCCCCCCCCCCCAAAAGATCCTCATCCTCAGATAAAGCCCCCCAAACATCACCGCTCAGCCTTCCACTTCATTCAGTCTGCTGCTGCACAGGGAAAACCTCACAAAGCTGCACCCCCCCTCGCGCACAGAGTTAAAGAGACAGTGTGGAGGATCTGCAGGACTCACTGTGTATATTTTACATTTCACTAAAATACTCATTAAACTGAAGTTATCTGCTGTTATCAGACTAAAAACGTGCGAAATGCATCAAAACAACTTATTATGTTGTGTTATCTGTTCTCTCTGAGCACGCTGTCCTCAACCTACTTTCCCTTTCTATATTTTCAATTTAAATCAAATGTATTTTTTGCAGATGGTTTAATCAATCTATCCAATCCACTTTATTTATATAGCACAGTTTAAAAACAGAGGGTTTGCCAAAGTGCTTCACAATGAACATTATAATAAAATATAATATTACACGAATAGATAGAAAGCACACATAAGAATACATACAAGGCACATAAAGGCTAAGGACAGGCAGTAAAAGCATACAAATAGGTAAGACAAAGATCAGACTGGCTGGTAGGCGAGGGAAAAGAGGTGGGTCTTTAGGCGGGACTTAAAAGCTTCAAGAGTGGGCGATAATTTAACCTGAGGGGGCAGGTCGTTCCAGAGCCTGGGGGCTACCGATGAGAACGCTCGGTCTCCCCTGGTATTTTTCTTTGTTTTTGGGACTATCAGCAGCAGCTGATCAGCCGACCTCAAAGCCCTTGAGGGGGTGTTCACCTGTAAGAGGTCGGAGATGCACTCTGGGGCCAGCCCATTAAGAGATTTAAAAACAAACAATAACATCTTAAAATGGACTCTAAAATGGACCGGAAGCCAGTGGAGGGAAGCCAGTGGAGGGAAGCCAGTGGAGGGGAGCCAGTGGAGGAAGCCAGTGGAGGGGAGCCAGTGGAGGGGAGCCAGTGGAGGGGAGCCAGTGGAGGGGAGCCAGTGGAGGGGAGCCAGTGGAGGGGGGAGAGTGGAGGGGAGCCAGTGGAGGGCATCCAGTGGAGGGCAGCCAGTGGAGGGGAGCCAGTGGAGGGCATCCAGTGGAGGGCATCCAGTGGAGGGCAGCCAGTGGAGGGAATCCAGTGGAGGGGAGCCATTGGAGGGAAGTCAGTGGAGGGAAGCCAGTGGAGGGCATCCAGTGGAGGGCATCCAGTGGAGGGCAGCCAGTGGAGGGAAGCCAGTGGAGGGGAGCCAGTGGAGGGGAGCCAGTGGAGGGGAGCCAGTGGAGGGGAGCCAGTGGAGGGGAGCCAGTGGAGGGGAGCCAGTGGAGGGCAGCCAGTGGAGGGGAGCCAGTGGAGGGCATCCAGTGGAGGGCAGCCAGTGGAGGGCATCCAGTGGAGGGCATCCAGTGGAGGGCAGCCAGTGGAGGGAAGTCATTGGAGGGAAGCCAGTGGAGGGAATCCAGTGGAGGGGAGCCAGTGGAGGGAATCCAGTGGAGGGGAGCCATTGGAGGGAAGTCAGTGGAGGGAAGCCAGTGGAGGGCATCCAGTGGAGGGCATCCAGTGGAGGGCAGCCAGTGGAGGGAAGTCAGTGGAGGGGAGCCAGTGGAGGGGAGCCAGTGGAGGGAAGTCATTGGAGGGAAGCCAGTGGAGGGGAGCCAGTGGAGGGAAGCCATTGGAGGGGAGCCATTGGAGGGAAGTCATTGGAGGGCAGCCAGTGGAGGGGAGCCAGTGGAGGGGAGCCAGTGGAGGGGAGCCAGTGGAGGGAAGTCATTGGAGGGAAGCCAGTGGAGGGGAGCCAGTGGAGGGAAGCCATTGGAGGGGAGCCATTGGAGGGGAGCCAGTGGAGGGGAGCCAGTGGAGGGAAGCCAGTGGAGGGGAGCCAGTGGAGGGGAGCCAGTGGAGGGGAGCCAGTGGAGGGGTCCAGTGGAGGGGAGCCAGTGGAGGGGTCCAGTGGAGGGGAGCCAGTGGAGGGGAGCCAGTGGAGGTGTCACGGTAGAGCGAAGGAAGCAGGACCCAAATGCAGATTAAACTGATATACTTTTAATAGAACTTGGACAGACAGAACACTCACCGGTGAACACAGTCACATACAAACGACGAACCGACAAAGACAGACAGAAAAAACCAGAACTTAAATACACACAAGACTAATCACACAAACAAGACACAGGTGAGGAGGGAGGAGAAAACACAGAGGCACCAGGTGAACACAATCGGGTAATCAGGGAGGGAAAACAGACAGAAAGCAACAGGCAGGAAACGGGGGTGAACAATTTACAAAATAAATAACAGGAAACCCAAAGATAGAAAAAGACAAGACAAAACAACAACACAGACAGATCGTGACAGGAGGGGAGCCAGTGGAGGGGTCCAGTGGAGGGGAGCCAGTGGAGGGGAGCCAGTGGAGGGGAGCCAGTGGAGGGGAGCCAGTGGAGGGAAGCCAGTGGAGGGGAGCCAGTGGAGGGGAGCCAGTGGAGGGGAGCCAGTGGAGGGGAGCCAGTGGAGGGAAGCCAGTGGAGGGGAGCCAGTGGAGGGGAGCCAGTGGAGGGAAGCCAGTGGAGGGAAGCCAGTGGAGGGAAGCCAGTGGAGGGAAGCCAGTGGAGGGGTCCAGTGGAGGGGAGCCAGTGGAGGGGAGCCAGTGGAGGGGAGCCAGTGGAGGGGAAGCCAGTGGAGGGAAGCCAGTGGAGGGAAGCCAGTGGAGGGAAGCCAGTGGAGGGGAGCCAGTGGAGGGGAGCCAGTGGAGGGAAGCCAGTGGAGGGAAGCCAGTGGAGGGAAGCCAGTGGAGGGAAGCCAGTGGAGGGGAGCCAGTGGAGGGAGCCAGTGGAGGGGAGCCAGTGGAGGGAAGCCAGTGGAGGGCAGCCAGTGGAGGGAAGCCAGTGGAGGGAAGCCAGTGGAGGGAAGCCAGTGGAGGGAAGCCAGAGGAGGGCAGCCAGTGGAGGGGAGCCAGTGGAGGGGAGCCAGTGGAGGGGAGCCAGTGGAGGGAAGCCAGTGGAGGGAAGCCAGTGGAGGGGAGCCAGTGGAGGGGAGCCAGTGGAGGGAAGCCAGTGGAGGGGAGCCAGTGGAGGGGAGCCAGTGGAGGGCAGCCAGTGGAGGGAAGCCAGTGGAGGGAAGCCAGTGGAGGGGAGCCAGTGGAGGGGAGCCAGTGGAGGGAAGCCAGTGGAGGGAAGCCAGTGGAGGGCAGCCAGTGGAGGGAAGCCAGTGGAGGGGAGCCAGTGGAGGGGAGCCAGTGGAGGGAAGCCAGAACTGGTGTGATGTGGTCAAACTTGCGTGTTCCTGTAAGCAGCCGCGCCGCAGCGTTTTGCACCAGCTGCAGGCGGGCCAGCGAAGTCTTGTTTAGGCCGGCATAAAGTGCATTACAGTAATCTAAACGAGTTGAAACAAAGGCATGAATAACACGCTCAAAGTTCTAATCTAAAATCTAAAGGTGCAATATGCAAAATGTCTGCATCAAAATGCAAATACATATTTCCTTATCCCATTTGTGGAAGGTGTTTGAAATGATCAGATCACACATTTACACATCGATTATCAATCCGTTCCTAAATACGATATTAAGACAAATTGACCTCCACCAGTCTTCAGAGCAAGAACCATTCAATTAGACTTCTTCACACGACCTGAGGACACCATGATCAACACTTTCTCCAACAGAACAATATTCTTCTCTGTAAAGGAACTACATTGCAGCTTAATGATAACACCTTCTCCCACCATCGCCGCTTGCTCGGACAAAAACATTCTAACATGTGGTGTAATCTTTTCATTTGAGTTTGACCTGTAGACTTTGTCCCTTCCCCAAACTGTCCCTCTTCTTGTTTTCAAGTGCTTTGTGTAAATATAATCTAACGGCACCTTTTTCTAATGTAATCTGGGTTAATATGATTTACTAACATTAGTAATCTGATTACATGTCATCTGTTACTACCCATACCCTAAACCCACTCAGCTGAGAGGTTATTGTACGCCAGTTTCCTGCAGGTGAGGAATCACAACCAAAGCACACACTGAGGTATCATAACATCTCAGCACATCTCTCCCAGTTCATTCCCAGTTGAAGGCAATTCTCAAACATTTAACATCTCAAAGACCATTTTAAGATTTTATTCCTGCACAAAATGAAATATCACATCAGACCTCGACAGCTGATTCAGAGCGCTGCAGCCAGACTGGTCTTCAACCTCTCAGTTCTCCCACAATGCACCTCTCCTTCCTCCACTGGCTGTAAGACCCTGGTACTGGTCTACCTAAAGGGATCTGGTCCATCAGACATCCAGAACTTAGTCAAACCATCACTCCAGCACCAAGAGGAACCCTAACCCCCCAACAAAGACACACCTGTTTTCCATATCATCATTCAAACAGGGAGTCCAAACTCATTTGGAATCGGCCCTCAGCTCATTCAAAGAGTATAATGTAGTACGGCCCACAAATGAACCTGGTGCTCGTCGTCTTGTACTTCTTAACTATATATACGCTCACACATATTACACACTATAGACCGCTTTTCAAATACTTTCATTCCATTAAAGTTGGAAACATGTTCTAACAAATCGAAGTAGAGAAGAAAAAAGCCCAGAAAGTTATTTACAAACCGACCTTGAAACAGACCCTTCATATTTCCTCTCATCATCAGCGATCTGAAGCTTCTGTTTCAAACAATGAGCTGCTGACAGAATGAAGTGAACTGAGAGCTGAATCATCGACTTTCCCAATAACGTCACTCGAGGCGACGCACCTCTCGTGAGCGGCCCAGACCTTCCTATGTCTCTCTGTGGCCCGCGGTGAAAGAAGTTCGGACACCTCTGCTTTAAAACATATAGTATCCTTACATTACATGTAGCTGAGGCTTTTCTCCAGAGAGACTTTCAATGAGTGCGTTCGACCAACAAGACACAAACTTGAAGAAAACAGAATCAAATCAAATCAAGTCAAGTTTTATTTATAGCACATTTTTAAAACGATTTTTGGTGGAGCCAAAGTGCTGCACATATAATGACCTTACAGTAAGGACACTTTACAGCTAATACAACCGTTTGTGTCAGTGTGAGGTTTAAGTGCTGCTCAACTGGCTTTAGATAGCCAGTGCTTTGATAGTAATTCTATCGCTGGAAGTGGAGTCGAAAGAGTTTTCAGTCTGCTTCCTGATGTCGATGCTCTGATTGCCTTTTAATAATAAGAATAGATGACATTTGTAGAGCGCCTTCCGAGGGACACAAGCAAGAGGGGCACATCATGAAGTACAAATGAAATAAATAGCTTTGTTAAATTGTATTGTTAGTCTTGTCTGTGTTTAACAGAGACATAAGTTTATGATTTACATTTCAGGAGATAAAGGAAGTGTAAAAGGTGGGTTTGCAAAGAGTTAAGGAGCGGGGGGGGTTAGGGTTAGATGATGGAGCAGCAGCTGCTTCCTCTCTCCTCTGAGGGTGAAGCTGCTCTGTGTGTGTGTGTGTGTGTGTGTGTGTGTGTGTGTGTGTGTCTGTGTGTGTGTCTGTGTGCGAGTGTGTGTGTGTGTCTGTGTGCGAGTGTGTGTGTGTGTCTGTGTGTGTGTGTGTGTGTGTCTGTGTGTGTGTGTGTATGTCTGTGTGTGTCTGTGTGCGAGTGTGTGTGTGTGTCTGTGTGTGAGTCTGTGTGTCTGTGTGTATGTCTGTGTGTGTGTATGTGTGTGTGTGTGTGTGTGTGTGTGTGTCTGTGTGCGAGTGTGTGTGTGTGTCTGTGTGCGAGTGTGTGTGTCTGTGTGTGTGTCTGTGGTGTGTGTGTGTGTGTGTGTGTGTGTCTGTGTGCGAGTGTGTGTGTGTCTGTGTGTGAGTCTGTGTGCATGTGTGTATGTGTGTGTCTGTGTGTGTGTGTCTGTGTGCGAGTGTGTGTGTGTGTCTGTGTGCGAGTGTGTGTGTCTGTGTGTGTGTGTGTGTGTGTCTGTGTGTGTGTCTGTGTGTGTGTATGTGTGTCTGTCTGTGTCTGTATGTGTGTGTGTGTCTGTGTGTGTGTGTGTGTGTGTGTCTGTGTGTGTGTGTGTGTGTGTGTGTGTGTGTGTCTGTGTGCGAGTGTGTGTGTGTGTCTGTGTGCGAGTGTGTGTGTCTGTGTGTGTGTGTGTCTGTGTGCGAGTGTGTGTATGTCTGTGTGTGTGTCTGTGTGCGAGTGTGTGTGTGTGTCTGTGTGCGAGTGTGTGTGTCTGTGTGTGTGTGTGGGTGTGTGTCTGTGTGTCTGTGTGCGAGTGTGTGTGTGTGTGTGTGTGTGTGTGTGCGAGTGTGTGTGTGTGTCTGTGTGTGTATGTGTGTCTGTCTGTGGGTGTGTGTGTGTGTGTGTCTGTCTGTGTCTGTATGTGTGTGTCTGTGTGTGTGTCTGTGTGTGTCTGTGTGTGTGTGTGTTCCTGCACTTCAGATCCATCTCACTTTATATTAACTTTCTTTATTAAATATAACAAAAGACACACTTTGTCAGGTCCTCTGAAGTGTCCTCCGTAGTTCCCTCTGATATCAGGACAGCAGAGAGTCTACCTATATTCAGATCAAACTAAAGACCCCTGTTTCTTATATCTTGGCCAATAATCCCCACAAAACGCATGCGTCAGTACTTATTATGGTCTGGCTTGTTCGTAGTAAACATGTCAGCACTGTTGTTGTTGTTGTTGTTGTTGTCCTTAGTTTGACTCGTTGTGGTTTATTGCACTTAGACGTCGCTTTGGATCGTCAGCTCGATGTAATCACCGTCCGTCTGCATAAATAACACTTCTTTATCTTCTTCCTGTAAAGAAGGCGTAGTTATTGTTTCACTTCAAAGAGAGATAACTGGAAGTCTCAAACCACTCGTCGAGATGCATCGTATGTCCATGAGAGGAGATTCAAGTGTCCTTCAAATCCTCATAAAGTCTTCCGTACAGAAGTATACAAGTCAATAAAGTTGGACCGCTTCATGAAGTCTGTTTTACAAAGTGCTTTTCAAAATGAAAGTCTTGAATGAATACTGTGTGTGCGGCGTTAGCACCGAGTTGCAGGAGGAGTGAGGGTCAGCATGGATCCTTTGTTTGTGTCCTTTGAAGCGTTACACCTTGGATTTGGCGCTCCGGTCTCCCTGGGTCCAGTATTCCTCCGTCTGCATCTCCGTCAGTCTGGAGACCGTCCTCTGGAAGGCGAACATCTCCTCGGAGCCGCTGAAGATCGACAGGCTGCTGGCTTCATCCTGCAGACACAGAGGAGGACAGAGTTTCTGCACGAGTCAACGAGTCAACGAGTCAACGAGTCAGCGAGTCAACGAGTCAGCGAGTCAACGAGTCAACGAGTCAGCGAGTCAGCGAGTCAACGAGCAGCGAGTCAACGAGTCAGCGAGTCAGCGAGTCAACGAGTCAGCGAGTCAACGAGTCAGCGAGTCAACGAGTCAGCGAGTCAACGAGTCAGCGAGTCAGCGAGTCAACGAGTCAGCGAGTCAGCGAGTCAACGAGTCAGCGAGTCAACGAGTCAACGAGTCAGCGAGTCAGCGAGTCAGCGAGTCAGCGAGTCAACGAGTCAGCGAGTCAACGAGTCAGCGAGTCAACGAGTCAGCGAGTCAACGAGTCAGCGAGTCAACGAGTCAGCGAGTCAACGAGTCAACGAGTCAGCGAGTCAACGAGTCAACGAGTAAGCGAGTCAACGAGTCAACGAGTAAGCGAGTCAGCGAGTCAACGAGTCAGCGAGTCAACGAGTCAGCGAGTCAGCGAGTCAGCGAGTCAACGAGTCAGCGAGGATTTCAAGGCTTTTCAAGGCTGTTCTTGTCCTGCGTGCAGGTCACAGGTCCTCCAGCAGAGCGACACAGTGCAGAGTAGTGATTGGAGTATTGATAAACACGAGTTTCAAACAGATGGAAGGTCTGACACTGCAGGTAGTCAGAACGAGTTGTTATGCTTATTGTGAGCCGTTTATCCCCTTCAAGGGTCTTTAAGGTCATGCTCCTATTTACATGCCCCCTACTCCTATCTACTCCCACACGCACTTGTTATTTGTCTTTGTCCTGACTTGGAGCATCGACGTGAGGGTGTCTAGAAATGTTAGTTATCATGTCAGGAGGTATTTGTATAGTGTTTTTCTGGGGTACACTTCAAGATCAAAACAAAGCCTTTTCACGATCATCACTTCAGGTTCGGGTTAAGATGAAAGACAACAATGAATGATAACATTAAATAATATTAATAATGGAACAAATGACCAGGAGCTCCGTTAACTAGCAGCCAGTGCGTGTGTGTGTGTGTGTGAGTGTGAGTGTGAGTGTGAGTGTGAGTGTGAGTGTGAGTGTGAGTGTGTGTGTGTGTGTGTGTGTGTGTGTGTGTGTGTGTGTGTGTGTGTGTGTGTGTGTGTGTGTGTGTGTGTGTGTGTGTGTGTGTGTGTGTGTGTGTGTGTGTGTGTGTGTGTGTGTGTGTGTGTGTGTGTGTGTGTGTGTGTCCAAGTCTCTCATCAGCAGCTGCAGGTCAATGACTAACTGAAGTCCTCCAGCATGAATATATAGAGAGGACATGAAACTAATAAAACAGATGAAACCGTGCAGAGAATGTTTTGAGAAACAGAGCCAGAAGAGTCTAGAAGTCCATGGACTATATCGATCACTGATGAGCACGATGCAGACAGATGAATGCTGATGTGTTCAGTGTGAATATATAAAGTGTCACCCTCCGGAGCCCCAGGTCGTCCATCAGGATGTTGCTCTCGTCCTGTCCGTGCTCTCCGTCGAGAACAAACAGCTCCTCCAGAGGATGATCCGCCAGAATCACAACCCTCACCTGGAGACAGGTAGATATCAAACTACAGGAACACACAGCTGGAGGTCGGGGGTCGGACAGAGGTGTGTGTGTGTGTGTGCGTGTGTGTGTGTGTGTGTGTGTGTGTGTGTGTGTGTGTGAGTGTGTGTGTGAGTGAGTGAGTGTGTGTGTGTCACCTTGTGGTCGTACAGAACGTCCACCAGCATGATGAACCTGTGTGTGTGTGTGTGTGTGTGTGTGTCAGTCAGTGTGTGTGTGTGTGTGAGTGTGTGTGTGTCTGTCAGTCAGTGTGTGTGTGTGTGTCAGTGTGTGTGCGTGTCTGTCAGTGTGTCTGTGTGTGTGTGTGTGTGTGTGTGTCACCTTGTGGTCGTACAGAGCGTCCACCAGAGTGATGAGTCTTCGGGCCTGGGCCTTCTTGTTGAGCGTCAGCAGGGGAATGTTTCTGATGAAGAGAGTGTCGAACAGACGAGAGACCTCCAGGTAGTCACTGGCTCCCAGAGGCTACACACACACACACACACACACACACACACACACACACACACACACAGAGGAAGTGTCTCTACTGTGACATGTGTCCATGCTTTAAGGTCCAACTCAAAGGAAGTGTCACATGACTCCTAAAGCTCTTACTCGGTCACACAGCTCCTCGAAGCTGCAGTCAGCGATGCTCCCACACGCTTTCTCCAGACGCACCTTCCTGTTGTTCACGTTCATCATCCTGGGCCGCGTTACTGCAGAGAAACATATCATTACACTTTCTTTCAATTACGTTTATTTTAATATTTGTATTATTTTATATTTTTACTCCAAATTCTTGCTTTAACTTCTTGTGTTTTTCTACATATTTTTTTATTTTATTTGATCTTTTTATATTAAAGGGGACCTGGCATGCAAAGTCACTTTGTGGTGTCTTCTCTACATCCATGTGTCCCCGGTGTGTCCCCGGTGTGTACCCGGTGTGTCCCCGGTGTGTCCCCGGTGTGTACCCGGTGTGTCCCCGGTGTGTCCCCGGTGTGTCCCCTGTGTGTCCCCGGTGTGTCCCCGGTGTATCCCCGGTGTGTCCCCGGTGTGTCCCCGGTGTGTCCCCGGTGTGTACCCGGTGTGTCCCCGGTGTGTCCCCGGTGTGTACCCGGTGTGTCCCCGGTGTGTCCCCGGTGTGTCCCTGGTGTATCCCCGGTGTGTCCCCTGTGTGTGTCCCCTGTGTGTCCCCGCTGTGTCCCTGGTGTATCCCCGGTGTGTCCCCTGTGTGTGTCCCCTGTGTGTCCCCGCTGTGTCCCTGGTGTGTCCCCTGTGTGTGTGTCCTGTGTGTCCCCCTGTGTGTCCCCGCTGTGTCCCTGGTGTATCCCCGGTGTGTCCCCTGTGTGTGTCCCCGCTGTGTCCCTGGTGTATCCCCTGTGTGTCCCCTGTGTGTCCCCGCTGTGTCCCTGGTGTGTCCCCTGTGTGTGTCCCCTGTGTGTCCCCGCTGTGTATCCCCGGTGTGTCCCCTGTGTGTGTCCCCTGTGTCCCCCCGCTGTGTCCCCTGTGTGTCCCCCGTGTGTCCCCTGTGTGTCCCCTGTGTGTCCCCGCTGTGTCCCTGGTGTATCCCCGGTGTGTCCCCTGTGTGTGTCCCCTGTGTGTCCCCGCTGTGTATCCCCGGTGTGTCCCCTGTGTGTGTCCCCTGTGTCCCCCCGCTGTGTCCCCTGTGTGTCCCCCGTGTGTCCCCGCTGTGTCCCCTGTGTGTGTCCCCTGTGTGTCCCCCCCGCTGTGTCCCCGGTGTGTCCCCGGTGTGTCCCCGGTGTATCCCCGGTGTGTCCCCGGTGTGTCCCCTGTGTGTGTCCCCTGTGTGTGTCCCCTGTGTCCCCCCGCTGTGTCCCCTGTGTGTCCCCCGTGTGTCCCCGCTGTGTCGCCGGTGTCTCCCCTGTGTGTCCCCTGTGTGTCCCCCGTGTGTCCCCGCTGTGTCGCCGGTGTGTCCCCTGTGTGTCCCCTGTGTGTCCCCGCTGTATCCCCGCTGTGTCCCCGGTGTGTCCCCCGTGTGTCCCCGCTGTGTCCCCTGTGTGTGTGTCCCCTGTGTGTCCCCGGTGTGTCCCCGGTGTGTGTCCCCTGTGTGTCCCCCGTGTGTTGCACATAGCTCCAACGATCCATCACACACACACACACACACACACACACACACACACACACACACACACACACACACCACACACACACACACACACACACACACACACACACACACACACACACACACACACACACACACACACACACACACACACACACACACACAGAGTGTTCAAATGATTATAAACCAACACATAAAGCATATTTGTCCACTCATATGTTGATAAGAGTCTAAGGAACATTTAGAACAGATAAAAAATGTGCGATGAATCGACTGACAGCTACTTTATCCCCGAATCAGCTCTTTAGAAACAGGAAGTGAAACAGAGGGACATGAGGCGTGGCTAGAATGGTCTGTTTGGTGTTTGGAGCAAAACACTTCATAGACATGTTTTATATATATTTGTATCTGAGACCTCTGCTATAGCCTGAACACAGCTGACCTTTAAATAAGACTATAAAGATATATAAGTCACTCACTGTCGTTCTGTTTGAAAGCCATCTCATCAAACTTCTTGTCCAAAGTCTTCTCGACGTCCGGCTCACTGGAGCTGAAACATCAAAAACATGCAAACAGAACTTCAAAATAAAACGTACGATGACTGGTTGGTTTTATTTTGAAGGGCTCTTACAGGAAGTAGAGTTTTCCAGCGGACGGTCGGTTCCTCCGGCGGTAATCTATCCCCGAATCCAGGCGGAGAGTTTGGCAATACCTCTGGAGAGAGAGGGGAAATATTCACTCGTATTTAAACGTGAGAATAGAAGTAGGTTTTGGTTAAACGCTCAATGCTTTGGTTTTGTCTAAAAATATGTCAGAAAATATTGAAATCGTGCCTCAAAGGTCTGGTTTTGTCAGTATACTCAAAATATTCACTTTAATCTGATATGAGCAGAAACAAATCACCATATTTGAGACATATGACACATTTAGGATTGGCGTTTAAAAGCTGAATCTGATACTTCTTAGAGCGTTTTGCAAAAATACAAATTAAAATGGGATTTTCGTTCCTCCCGAACTTTATCTTTGAATGTGAGAAAAGAAAAGTAGTGTTTGGTTAAATGCTCAGAAAATACAGATTTAAGTTGCTTTAGGAAACTTCTCATGAAGCTTGCATTCACTTGCTGATTTGTCTCTAAATGCTTTGAAATCGTGCCTCAAAGGTCTGGTTTTGTCAATAGATTCAAACATATTCTCGTAGTCTGTAAAGAGCTTTGAGGGGTCGACGAGACCTGATGAAGAGATGTATAACTACAGAACAGTTAAAGGTCCCATGTCCTGCTTCTCTGGTTCTGACCCGTCCCCTTGTGTTCTGTAGCTTCTGCATGTGAACGGTCTGCAGAGTCTCTAACCCTCAAAGTGCAGCCTGTAGGCAGTAACACTCTAATGGCGCGTTTCCAATGCAGCGGGTAGCTCGCTTTAAGCGTGCCGAGCCGTGCGGGGCCCGTTTTGGTTGCGTTTCCACTTGGCCTAGTTTTGGCCCGGGGCTACTTTTTCACCTTTTTTCTGGCCCGACTAAACCGTGGTTCTAGGGCCAGAAGGGAGGGAGGGAGGGAGGGAGGGAGGGAGGGAGGGAAGCAGCTCCAACAAGCCGTGCAGGACAGAGAGTGAATACACAGAGTTTGGAACATTGAACAAAGTGAATGTATTCTATCGACTCAACGATGGAACTATGATCAGGAGAAATGGGACCTTTAACATTTACTTACCTGCAGCACGGCTATAAACGGCACGAAGTTGACCCTCTGCAGCCCGTTCTTATACAAGTCTGAGGAGAAAGAGTTCAACAATCATATCATCCATCTGATAAGGGGGTGCTGTCTTAGTGTCTGCTAAG